AGTAACTTTTATTTTCCATGCTAATCCGCAGATTCTTATGCAGATAGTTGTTGCAGATAACTTTTAGTACCCTGCCACTGAATTTTGGACACTTATAAGGCTTATAATCAAAATTTTCTCTTCTCTTTTTCATTTTCATTTCGTTAATGAAATGACCGAAGAAAGGAAATTAAAAGAAATTACGAAAAATACTAATTGGCGACCAAGGAAAAATCCGAGCAATCTTCGCTATTTTTTTTCAATCCATTTGAATTACATCAAAAAAAAATTTTATGAAAGAAACTTTACCATTTTCACAGTTATATTCTTTAGTTAAGCAGCATGTTGCGCACGTTCGTGGACACAATTGCCGAGCCAACATTCTATAGGGAGGCTGTTGACATGTGTCTCGAACTTTATAATCCTGGTTTCTGCAACAGATCTTTTTCATTTTTGTTTTTCTTACATCTTTTTTTTAAATTTTCTATTAAATTTTTTATTTGATTTATTATATGTGAATTTAAGTCAAAATGAAAATGCAAGGAATCTTCCAGAATATAAGAATGAATTCAAAATGCATAGTTAATGATCGGTTCATTATCTGAATACGGTTTAACATAATTTAGGTGCACGCAATTAAATATGATATTTTTCGATTAAAATATGGAATGAATGCGAATAATATAAATTGCTGGGAACTTACTCCATCTGGTTATTCATGAGCACCATCCCTAGTTGAGGATTATTCAAATCCTCAGGCTTGAATAATTCAAAACAAGCCAATGGATCGCGATCTTGGCAGTTCTCAACAGGTACCGAAGGCCTTTGCACAGGCATTTGTCCCATTCTTGGCTTAGGAACATTGCAAACATCTATTGCCACAGCAGCTCCATTAGTGAAACTGCATAACGATGCCAGTATAAGCAAAGCAATGAACATGTTTACTAGTCAAATAATTTGCGTTCGACCAATATTTTAAGGCTATATATGAGCCGCAAATACAGTTGTTGTTATTTCAGTCATATTCCGGAAATTTATTGAAGAATTCTCTTACTTGAAACTGCATTCAACTGTTCAAACATGATTTTTGAAATTTGAAGTACATTTGCTTCATTTCATTTGGCGTGCAAAGGACATATAATTATGAAATTCACTAAACAAATTTTATATTTTCTAAGCGATAATAAACATGGAAAGTAATTTTTACAAAAACTTTTGACTCAAACCGAGGAAGGTCAATCAATTGTTTTTGTTGTGAAAAATTAATGAAACGATAATTTCGATTTGGCATCGGAAAATTCTTGAATTCGAATTCCTTTCCAATTTTTCGATATTATTAAAGTTGTGAAGGCTTCTTCCCAGCTCAGCGCAATGCCTCATTTCACCATTTCGCGCCAATAACCAACCACTACATTTGCTGAACGATTTTGTACTAACGCTTTAATCCTTTTTAAACTTCTGTAAAGTAAATTGGAGATATGAAGAGAATTGTTGTTGTAGAAATTTCGAAACAGTCTCATATTTATTCATTTATCTGAGAGATGGTGATCATTCTCATAACTCATGGTTCATGAACAGAGTATTCTTATTGTTTAAAATTTAAAATTCTTTATCAATTTTCACTCACTCACTTGTGTTTTTTTCGAAGATTCAGAGCTTAAAAATTGCGCAAAAAGATTTTATGGGATTTCATTTCACTGAAACACCTCTCATTGACTGCTCAAAAATGAAAATGAGCTTTCGTCCAGAGATTTTTTCCGAAATACTACAATATTCGATTTTTCCATTCACCAAAAAAATATCTAAAATATAAATTAATCATTTACTAATTCACTATTGTTTAAACAATTTAAAAATCGCGTTTGCTACCATCGGCTACCAAAATTTCTCGATTCACAGAAAGTATATAAATAAAAAAAGTACCTGACCTGAAAAAAAGTACTTTTACCTGGTAAAATTTCATCATAAAATTACAAATATTAAGATTAGCACAATTGATTATAACTAACGTAACATTCCCTTTTTCCATTCCATCATTGTGAATGTAATTAATAATAATACGAGCTATACGAGCTTAAATTGTTATCTTCACATAATGATTCTATTTTATTTAATTCATTTACCTACCATTTTGCACTGTTAAAGAAAGTATGTATTGCTGTTCAACTTTACAAGTGGAAAATTCTCCAATTTCTTTTTCACTTAGAGCAACAATTCTAAAAACATTTTGTCTTTCGGATTACATACAGGGACAAGCAGTTCTTAACCACAAAATTATTAACTAGCTATTCATCTACTTCCATCCTCAATGGACTCCTTGGAATTTTCATGCAATGTAACTAGCCAGCGAAGTGAGCTTAACCAGAAATGGTGTGGACTCATGAAAAAAAAAATATTATAGAAATATGGGAAAAATTGACCTTCTTCCATTCTTGTTAAAGTGCGCTAATCATCCGTGAAAACTACTGTGGCATAATCGAAACCATTTCTTTATCATATTTAATCGTAATAAGAATAGTGAATCAAACGCGGTTTTTTTTTCAGGTAGAAAGGCAAAATTAGACAAATCGACTACCATAATTATTGTTAAAGATTTGCGAATTAAGATTGCACGTGAAGCATTAAATTATGTTTTTGTCAACTTATTCAAAATTTATAATGTTTTATTCTTTCACACATTTCTTTATTAATTCAGTTGAAAATGATTTGGAGTAATAATAAAAAACGATAAATAAGAAGAATTTATGTAAGGTGACAGCAACTTCAGTCATTGCCTACGTGCAGTAACCACACGTTCGTGCGCATTGTTGCATCATTGTTGTTCGAAATACACCGCCACAGCTATTCGATGCTCTAATTGCGGCACAGCCCTGTCGTTCGTCTTTACAATTTTGTATTGGAGATGATAAAGTTGTCGCTAAAATCCATGCTAAAATATAGGCTTGCAGTTCTGGAATAAATTATAAAAAATTTTGCGGATTACTTGATAAACAGTCGCGTGAATTGCATGATCTCTGGCACATGCTCTTTAATCTGTCATTGGTACAAACACCCAGTGGCACTAAAACATCGCAACCATCGATAGTATCAGGACACATGTTTGCAGCACCAGGTAAATGACAAAGACCGCAAGTCTGTGGGCAAAATCGCAGAGCAAAATCTGGGATGCTTGTGCAGAGTGACCTTG